CCGGGATCCCCGCAGCCGGGGCAGCTGGAGCAGCTCTGACTTCATCCGCGCTCCCCTTCTCCCCCAGCTACGCCCACGCACTGGACGGGCTGCACCGGGTGCTCCGGGAGGGTAAGATCCGCCCCGCAGGGCAGCGCCGTGCAGGGAGCCTGTCCACATCCCGGGCGCAAGCGCCAGGCAGAGGGGCTGGGGATGGGCATGTATACAGGTGCCCACTGCCCCGGGCAGGGTGCTGAGCCAGCCGGGGCCAGTGCCATGGCCGGCACTGCAGGTCCCAGCCGCCAACCCCATCCCCTCCACAGAGGGCCTGAGGAAGCTGTTCTCCGGCGCTTCGATGGCTTCGAGTCGAGGGGCCCTGGTGACCGTCGGACAGGTAGGGACCCCGGCACCTTGCCCATGGGGCGGGGTGGTGGCAGCCCAGCAGGAGCGCCACACTGACCCTCCCTCTCCGCAGCTCTCCTGCTACGACCAGGCCAAGCAGCTGGTCCTCACCACGGGGCTCCTGTCTGACAACATCTTCACCCACTTCCTGGCCAGCTTCATCGCTGTGAGTGGGGCGGGGGCCAACGCTCCTGATGTCCTGCCTGACACGAGGCGGTCGCGCGGGAGCTGGGGGGGCTGGCGCACGGGCCAGGACGCGAGGGGCCGGTGGTGCCAGCAGTGAGCAGCACCCGGTGGTAACCTGTTCCCTCTCGCTGCCGCAGGGCGGATGCGCCACATTCCTGTGCCAGCCCTTGGACGTGCTCAAGACCCGCCTGATGAACTCCCAGGGCGAGTACCGGGTGAGCAGCCCCCTCCCTCTGTCTGCCACGGCTGCTTCTCCCCCCCGGTGCCCAGAGCTGGGCTCCTGTGCACAAGGCCAGAGCACCCAGCACCCACATCACCCCCCTCCTCCATTGCAGGGCGTCCTGCACTGCGCCGTGGAGACGGCCAAGCTGGGACCACTGGCTTTTTACAAGGTACTGGGCAGAGGAGGTCTGGGGGGCAGAGGCTGCAGAGCACTGGTGGGGGCACCGGGGCTGGCACGGACCACTGGGGCAGGGGCCAGGGGGTGCTCAGGTGGGCTTGGGGCTGGGCCAGCACTGAGCCCCGCTTCCCATCCCTGCTCCAGGGCTTTGTGCCTGCTGCCATCCGGCTGGTCCCGCACACCGTCCTCACCTTTGTCTTCTTGGAGCAGCTGCGCAAGTACTTCGGGATCAAAGTGCTGGTATGAGGCAGGCGAGCAGGAGCAGGGGCCCAGCTGCCATGCCCAGGGCAAGCCACCTCACCCCCTCCCAGTGCAGCTCGCTCTGCCTCCGGCTTCACCCCTCCCCCTCGCTTACCCGCTGGGCCGGCGCCTACACCTCTGGGCCGGCGCCTACACCTCCAGCTGACCAGCAGCCTCAGCTGCCACCTGCACCAGTTGCCACAGGGACAGTGTGGCCCCCACCCCTCCCAGAAGCTCACAGCGCCCTGAGGGCCACGGTCCTGGGGGGGCCTCAGTCTTATCTGTCAGCCACTCTCCTGCACCCCAGCACCGTGGCCCCTGGGCAGGGAGAAGGAGAGGAAGAGGGGCCCGTTGGCTCCCCAGCACCTGGCCCCCCAGGGGGGAGGGAAGCCAGGGAGTTCCCAGCTCCACAGTTGTCCCTTCCCTACTGCTCCCTCCAGCTTTAAGGACCCAGTCTGCTCCGCCAAAACCTCCCGGCACCCAGAGGCTGTCGGGCTCTTCAGGGACTTCTGCCTCGTACCAATGATGATGTGGAACAGCCTCGCTCCTCGCCCCCAGCCACGCCTGGCTGCCCCCCATGTCCCGGCTGCAGCTGGCCAGAGCCGGGGCAAGCCAGAGGTCTTTCTCTGCCTGGCCCCATCACCCTGCCCCCCCCATGCCCAGCGGTGCAGGGACCACCCCGGAGCAGCATCCTGCGTCGTAGCTGCATGGAGCAGGGGATACGGTGGGGGTGGGGGTGGGGGCATGCACACAGGACTTAGCCCGGAGCAGCGGAGCAGGGTCCCTGAGCCAGCCCCGACCTCCTGCCCTTGGGCAAGGCCAGCCCTGCGCTGCGTCCCCGGCAGCTGGCCGTGCTGGGGGCCCCCACTCCCGCCGCCCTTTGAGCTTCTGCTGCATCGTGTCTATTTAAGTGGGGACCCGTGGGATCAAGGAACTGGAGCGTGTGTAACTGTGACAATAAATCTATGACCGTGTGCCCCGTGCGGCTGTGCCTCCTTTCGGGGGGAGGTGGATGGGAAGAGACATCCCTGCTGCCAGGGCTGGCCTGAGCCCCAGGCTCTCGCTCGCTTACCCCTGGGGTCATCTCCACACCGTGCCCCTGCCCTGCCCCCCCAAAGGTGCCAGGAGCTGGAGCTCTGCCGGGGGGCCCAGCTCCAAGCCCTGCTGCCGCTTTGTGGAGCTCCCTGCTCCGCAGCAGGAGCCGGGCCTCTGGCCTGGCCTGGCCGCGAGGGACATTCCGGGGCCGCGGCGGTGCCAGGGCCCTGCCAGCGCCGCCTGCAGCGTGCTCGGCCTTTCCCAGCGCCGTAGCCTGGATGTGACGCTAATTGGATCCCAGTGCCGCAGCCTGGATGTGTCACCTTAACGAAGCCTAATGACGCTGCCTGGCACCAGCTGTCGTGGCGGGCTGGCGGGGCAGGAGAGGGCCGGGCAGCTGCAGGTGG